TGTGTGTCCAGCAGTTAAAACAGCCGTTGAGAGGAAAGTTTATTTCCATAAATGCCTATATCCAAAAGTCAGAAGATCACAAGATAGACAACTAACGAATCGTCTCAAAGACCTGGTAAGAAGAAGAACAGACAACCCCCAAACCCAGCTGAGAAGTAAGAATCATTAAGATTCAAAATCAGAACTAAATGAAATAGACAACAGGGAAATATATGGATGATTAATAAACAAAAAGTTCGGTTCTTTGAAAAAATAAACAAAATTGACCACACCATTGGCTAGAACTAATGAAAAGCAGAAAAGAAAAATCTGCTAATAAGCTCCATCAGGAAAATAAAGGGAGAAATTACAAACTGATGCCATGGGATACAAGATATAATTTTATTGAATACTACAAAAACCTCGTATGCACACAACTGGAAAATGTGGATGGAAATGACAATTTCTTAGAAACACACAGCCTCCTAGGCTCAACCAGGAGAGGAAATAGAATTCCTGTGAACAGACCAATATCAAGGTATTAAAATTGACACACAATTGAAAAATCCATTCCTAAAACAGAAACAGTCCACTGGAGCGCAGATATTTTCACACTGAATTTATACCACACCTTACAAAGAAGTAACTGGATGCTTCTTTTTTATCCTGTCATAAATTATTCCAAAACATCCGAGGAATGATGGACTGCCTCCAACACATTTTATGTGGAAGCGAAGACATAACCCTGATACCAAAAACCAGGAAAGGATTCAACAAAAAAAAGAAAACTACAGACGAAGTATCCTTATGAATTGATGAGGATGCAAACATTCTCAACAGAATTTCTTGTGTTTGTATGCTTGTCTGTTTCATGGTGTCTTAACCGACGGATGCAGGGATTGGTTCAACATAAGCAATCTATAATGTAATCTTATTAACAGGTGTCAATAACATGTGTCCATATGATTCCTCAAGATATGTCAAAATGCAGAAAAGCATGTTCAAATTCAACACCCTTATGATAAGAACGCTCAAAAAGTCCCCAAACAATAAATGCTGGTGTGGATGTGGAGAGATAAGAACACTCCTACACTGCTGGTGGGACTGCAAACTAGTTCAACCTCTGTGCAAAGCAATATGTAGATATCTCAAAGCGATACAAGTAGATCTACCATTTGATCCAGCAATTCCAGTACTGGGAATTTACCCAAAACATCAAAAGTCACTTTATGAAAAAGACACCTGCACTCGAATGTTTATAGCAGCACAATTAACACTTGCAAAGCTGTGGAGACAACCCAAGTGACCATCAATTCATGAGTGGATTAATAAAATGTGGTATATGTATACCATAGAGTACTACTCAGCTTTAAGAAACAATGGGGATATAGCCCCTCTTGTATCTTCCTGGATAGAACTAGAACCCATTCTACTAAGTGAAGTATCTCAAGAATGGAAAAACAAGTACCAGATGTATTCACCAGCAAACTGGTATTAACGGATCAACACCTAATTGGACATATAGGAGTAACATTTATTGGGTGTTGGGAGGGTGGGAGGGGGGAGGAGGGGATGGGTATATACAACCAAACGTAAGATGTGTAACATTTGGGGGATGGACATGCTTGAAGCTCTTACTCCAGAGGGGAGTGGGGGCATGGGCAATATATGTAATCTTAACATTTGTAACCCCATAATATGCTAAAATTAAAAAAACCAAAAGAATAATGAGTGTTCCAATCCATGGCCAACATATCCCAACCCCCGCATTGATTTATACCTTGTATAATTTGCCTTAATAATATTAAATGGTCTTCTGTGTAGAGTTATTATATATCTCCTTTCTAGATTTATTCCTTGGATTTTATGTTTTAAAATTATGTTGTAAATTATGTTTCAAAATTTTATTTCCAATTGATGGCTGTTGTTATCTATTGAGGTTTCAATTTTCTAGCTGTCTCTAACTTGGACAATACTACAGAATTTAATAGTTATATAATCTTTTTCACATATAATATATAGCTGTTACCCCCAAGAATAGGCATTTTAAAATTATCTTGGTTCGTCATTTTGTCAAATAATTGCTTATTTTATTAAATACTATTACATTAGGAATTTAGTTATAATAAAACTTTTAATTTATTTCGTTAAAGGTTAATTTTTCTCATCACTGGATCATATTCAAATTATTAACATCTCTCTGATTTACAAATTCCAAAGTGGACTGGCTTCCTACAATGTAACTTAAACTTACAGACTCATAATATAAACCAATTTTCTTTCATGAATTTTAATGAATAGAGCAAAAGAGGATCATATGCAATACATTATGTTTTGCTTTCTTTTCTATTAATATATAAGCCATATAAATACAATTTGTTTTTTTTACCATGTTATCTCTTAATAAAAGTTGATAATAAAAAAGTTGTAGCTTAATAAAAGTTGTTATTTTTGAAATCTGTTAGATAATTTCTTGTTTCAGCATATGGTACTTACTTGTCTTCCCTCTGAGAAAAAAGGAAAATGTATTTTATTCAGGCTAATCATTGATATGACTTGCAAACTTTCTGAAGTGCTGACTACTGACATTACAGTCAGTATAGTCAAACTACTACTAAGTATGCCACCCTATTAGGAAGTTTTTATTTTCTACTATCCTGGGATTTAAATTATTTTTATTTAATTAATTTATAAGAATAACATTGCAGATAGTATTGATGTCCATTTTCATCCTTGTAAAGGCAAATTTTTTTACAACAGGCAGCACATTTCTGTAGCATTAAGAACTGAATATGTATCTATATTTATATCCATGTCCATATCTATTAATATAACTATGTTATACAGGATGTCCCAAAAGTCACTATAAATAGGGAAAATGAGAAATTATAGTTAAATGTACCTTAGTTTACAAAATATTCATTACAAAATTTAACAAAATTTTGCCTTTGTATGGAGACTTTTGGGATACCCTGTATATCTATATATATCTATCCAGGGTCAGCAAGAATTTCTATATGAAATTTAAGCAGTCATATGCTCTCTGCTTATATCCTGATGATTCAAACATAGCAGACACACATTCTCCTTTATTGGTAATATTGCCCAAGAATCACAAGAAGGATTATATCCTATAAAACACCAGAGGGTTCTTAAATTATGAATAATTCATATTGTAATACATAGAAGATCATTTAATTTGGCACTGGATACTAATTATAATTTTTCCATAGGGTAGGAAAATAGAACAGAATCAAAACTACTGGAAGTAGAACATTTTAAACAAAATCATAAAAAAATATCACCAAGTGAAGCACCTTCTCATGCCATAAATGAGACTGGTGATCAGGAGTTTAAGGCACTAGTATTAGATCTTTTTTGCTAAGAGGAAAAAGGGAAGTTAGTGTTATAGCCAGAATTAATACTAATACCTTGAACTTCTGATTATCTGCCTATTATAACTGCTATGCATGTGTGTGTGCATGTGTGAATGTACATTTACATTAGTAAAAGAGGACATTCTTTTGATAGTTAAACCTTTAACTATGTTTTTTTCAAATCCAAATATACAATAAGCTATATTGTATATACATAGGCATTTAGGAAACAATGTATCTACTCATTTAAAAATAGTTGAGAATCAAGCTCAATCATTAATATTCCTTCAAAATTAAAGCAAAGAACAGAACAGAAGCAGAGGGAAAAGTAATTAAGGTTAAAATACATATTCATAGAGGAAATTTCCAAGCCCTGATAAGAAAAATTTCCATATAAGGGTGAACCAGAAACAGTATGAGACTGCCCAATGAGACATGTCTATTCAAAGGACCCTGTGAGATATATTTGGGGTGGGGGTTTGTCCCTTCACCACTGCTAAACTTAATGCAGATATGGAGAAAAATTGATTATACTTACTTTAAAAAAATTAAGAAAAATAAAACATGCCTACCTAAATATAGATGATGGAGTAAAAAGGGAAAATAATGACTACATGTGGACCAGTCTGTAAGTCTCTGTAAATTTATGCCACACATGATGATAGCTTGTACCAGATTGCTGGTGGGCCAATGAAGTGAACAGATTAAAAACATATATACTATGTGGAAAAGTTCTTGTTGATATGTTGAATATGGAGTTTGAAATAGAGGAGTCAAAAAAACTCATTCATTTCTATACCAAGAAAACTAGGTATAGTAGTTGCAGGGGAGAACTGAGGGTTGACTAAAGGAGATCATGAGCTTGATTTGATACACAGTAGTCCCCCGTATCTGTGGTTTCACTTTCAGCAGCTTCGGTTACCTGAGGCCAAATGAGGTCTGAAAATACTAAAAGGCAAATTCCAGTAATAAACAATCCATAAGTTTTAAATTTCAGGCTATTCTGATTAGTGTGATGAAATCACATGCAGTTCCACCCTCTCCCCCCAGGATGTGAATCATCCTTTTGTCTGGCTTATCCACACTGTATATGTTACCTGCTCGTTAGTCACTTAGTAGCTGCCTTGGTTATCAGATTAAAAAAATTAGTACATATAGGGTTTGATAATAACTGTGGTTTCAGTCATCCACGGTGAGTCTTAGAAGTTATCCACCCACAGGACCTACTGTTTTTTAAGTTTAAAGTATCTTTGAGTATAAGAGGATATATCAAAAGGAGATGAGGTGAGAGTACGTAAAACTCATTATTATAAGATCATTTTTTTGTTACTTTGACTTTTCAAAAGGGATGTAGAGTAATTAAAAACACAACATTTGGTAGATAATTAAATAAAATTAAATTAATGATAAACAAAAACACAACTATATCACTCGAGGGACAGAAATTGTAGGGATTCATTATATTTAACATATTGGAAATACGATATAATAAAAAAATTATTTTCAGAATTACCTGTCACTGATTTTAACTTTTACAGCGTTAAGATCCATCAAAAGTTTTTTATTTTCTTCTGACAGTTGAGTATGTACTACTGAAATATCTCCATAATCTTTTGTGACATTAGAAAGCTCAATATCGCATGTTTTTTTCTTTAAGAAAAGAATAATTTATACATGTTTAATTAGCAAAAGGAAAATAACTAATAAAAATTACTTTTAGTTACATGACTTAATATTGGGAAGAGAATGGAGCTCTATTGGGAAGTAGGGAAAGGTAAACTTACTGTGGCATAAAAATCATTAAGTGCTTCCACATATTCCTGTTCAAACATTTTTTTTTTCCAGGTTAGTTGATCATAAGTTTTTCTCAAATCATCTAGCTAAGAAAAAGAAAATGAACAGAAAATAAGTGAATTGTGGAGCTTTTCATTCTTTCATAAACGAAAAAACAGATTATATTTCACTTTGCAGAGCTACTTTAACTTAATAAATATTAATTAAAATAGTATATTGTAACACATTATAGGTTGTTTACATTATGAAAATTGGTGCAAGATTCAGAATAAAATATAGTGAATCGAGTCTAAATCTACTCTAGTGTTTAAATAAATAATTAATCATGATAGAATCTGTTTCAGTTATGTAACATTGAAAGACATCAGAGAATTTTGAGTCACAGTTCATCACATCAATAAATTAAAGTAAAAAAAATATAAATATGGCAACACTTTGCAAAATAGCCATTTAATAAATTCACTAGTTTCCATAGCTTTTTAAGTTAGTACAGAGAAAACTACTCACGTATAATATAAAGGACCAACATTAAATATGAAAATAAACTATGAATGCTGAATTCTTGCTCATTGAACTCAAGAATAAGACCACAGTATTTTTTAACCACCATTATTATTAATCATGTTTTGTGAAAGACTAGCTAATCACAATTAGATAATTAAACCAAACATTGCCATTATAATATTGAACATGAATAAATAATATATCCTCAACTTCAGATGATATGATTAAATATCTAGAAAAACAAAAGATTCCATTTAAAATTACAATAAATGATTTTGGTAAGTGGTTGGATATAAGGATAAGGAAATTAATACCTTTTATCTATAAGAGGAATAGTCTGTTTTAAAAAATACATACTTTAAATGTTTTCTCAAAGATATAGAATATTTGGGAAAAAATTTGACAAAAACCAAAGATGAACTCTGAAGTAAACACAAACTCTTTATTAAAAAGCCCAAATCAAGATTCACATGAAAAGCATGATATGTGATGGAAAGGTTTAACAGAATATTAGTTCTCTTAAAATTATTTCAAAACATAATAAAATGGAGTATTCACTGTTGAACTGAATAAAATGAAGTTCATATAGTAGTAAAAGGTGTGGGAGAGGCCAGGCGCAGTGGCTCACACCTGTAATCCTAGCACTCTGGGAGGCCAAGGCGAGAGGATCATTTGAGCTCAGGAGCTCGAGACCAGCCTGAGCAAGAGTGAGGCCTCCATCTTTACTAAAAATAGAAAGAAATTAATTGGCCAACTAAAAATATACAGAAAAAATTAGCCAGGCATGGTGGCGCATGCCTGTAGTCCCAGCTACTCAGGAGGCTGAGATAAGAGGATCACTTCAGCCCAGGAGTTTGAGGTTGCTGTAAGCTAGGTTAATGGCATGGCACTCTAGCCTGGGCAACAGATCCAGACTGTCTCCAAAATAAAAAAAGGTATGGGAGAATAGCCAAGAGGGATCTGAAAAATGAAATTAATGTTGGAAATTTGCTACCGGATATTAAAATATCCTACCACATCACTATATTAAAGCAAAATTTATTTTTGTCATTGTAATAAAGAGCAGAGAAAAAAACTAGAGGCCAGAAATACATGTGAATTAATATTTTAAAAAGTGGTACTGAAATTAAATGAGAGAGAAATTGTTTAATTAATAGAGCTGGAATAATACAGAATCTGTTTAAAAAAATACAAAGTGGTCTGTCTACCTCACATCTAACTCATATCACAACAAAAATAAAATTTCAGATGGATAAAAATCTAAGTGCAAACAGAAAACATTACAAATTATTAGTGTAATCAATATGAGTTTATTTGTGTAATGTTGGGCTAAAGGATAGTGTAATCTTGTTAAGTAAACCAAGAGAAATGTTGATTTGTTTGACAGCATATTTTATTAAATATAAAAGTCATGTGACAGAAGATACCCTAAACAAAGTTAAAGGAAAAATAAGACCATGAAAAATGTGAAATAAAAGGCCAACATTTTGATATTATGTCCTTGCAAAGGACATCAGTAAAAATGGCAGAGTGAGGTCCCCTGAAAAACTCTCTCCTCCATAAATACAATTAGAAAACTGGCAAAAATCATCAAATCAGCCTTCTCAAAACTCTGGAAATTAACCAAAGGTTTGCAGCAATTTAGAGAGCACTTTTTCAATGAAAACAGCCTAATCCTAGTAAGAAGAATGAACTTGGTGGTATTTTAACTTCTCCTACTTCTTCTTTCCATTTCTACAGAGCCTCTAAGGAAAACAACTCACAATTTGTGGTGAAAATCAGTAATCTGATGGCCACCAGAGGAAGTAGAAGCAGGCCATTCAAAGCCTCATTCTCAAAAAACTGTCATTATTTGACCTGTCTGGTGGATTTTTTGAAGACCTCACTTGCAAAAAATGTCTGTATTTGATTTGATGCAAAACTCATTCAGTACAAAAAGTCTTTCCCCCAGGCATGATTGTTCCAAAAAAAAAAAAAAATTACAGGCAATAGATTAATTTTGTAGCTAAAAATTGTGACAAACAATAGACTAATCAACAAACTTGAAAGACTGGGAAAGATGTTCACAGTGGCTTTGTAAAGCTCCAGCCTATTCCAGGGAGGCTACAAATACCCAAGGATGTATGAAAGCCCTGGGGCTGTTCACATGCCCTCGTAATACCTGAGAAGCTCCTCAAACTCTCACCTATGGCTGACCTTGAGGCTCTATGAAAGCTGGAAGTTAAAACTAAGGCAGAATTGACAACTGCCTGAGTGAGTATTAAAGGTGTGTCTAATCAATCAGACACAGAGCATGGTTTGCAGTTCCTTAAAATGTTAAACATGGAATTATCATATGATCCAGAAATTCTACACCAAGATATATAACCAAAGGAAATGAATACACACACACACACCAAAACTTGTACATCAATGTTAATAGCAGCATTATTCATAATAGCCAAAAGCTCCATTTACTGAAGAATGGACTTAAAAAATGTGACATATTCATACAATGGAAGTAATTCAGCCATAAAAAGGAAGTACTGATAGACTCTACAACATACATGAACCTTAAAAACATTATCTAATTGACATAAGAGACCACATATTGTATGATTACATTTGAAATGTCCAGAAGAGGCAAATCCATAAAGATAGAAAGTAAATTAGTTAGTTGCCAGGGGCTAGAGGGAAGAGAAATTGGTAGTGACTGCTAAAGCCTACAGAGTTTAATTTTGGAAAAATTAAAATATTCTAAAATTAGATAGTGGTTAAGGTTGCATAACCTTGTGAATATACTAAAATCCACTGAATTATGCAATTAAAAACAAAAAGCCAACATGCTTAAGATGCAACGAGATCCTACAGTGTAATGACAAAAGTGAATAATTCTTTGAGACTTTGTTTTTCAAACCATTTCAGAACATTCCTCATTATTTTAGTCATATTTGCAAACTATAACATTTGTATTAATATATTTTCAGTGGTTTTTATGTCAACTCACTTGTTTACATAATTATGTTAAAAATGAAACTATTATTTTTGCAAATTAAAGTCCAGTATCATACACCATAAAGAGATAGTAACTATAAAGATAAAGAAAATAAAAACAACTTTATGAAATTAACAGGATAAAAATAAAATACAAATAGTATTAAAGATATCCAATTTATGAAAAGAAATGCAAAATATATTTCTCTTCGAAGAATTTAATAGCATATGATCAGTAATTAAAGGAACATTTGAAACAATATTTTAATGTCAAGAGATTAAATGAATTATGAAACAATTTACCTGTATATATATTAATAATAATTGTGCTAGATAATTGAACATTAGACTTAATTTCTAACCAAAATGAAAATAGTTTTTTAATAAATTTTTGTTTCAAAACGCCTTGGAAATATTTTTCAGAATTTGTTCAGAAATTGTCAAATTACTTTGTATGACAGCAAACAGATATGCAAGCTTTGTTACCCACTCATCATTACTATTTTTATTATTGTTGAGATGGAGTCTGGCTCTGTCACCAGGGCTAGAGTGCCATGGCATCAGCCTAGCTCACAGCCACCTCAAACTCCTGGGCTCAAGTGATTCTCCTCCCTCAGCCTCTCTCGGATAGCTGGAATTACAGGCTCACACCACCAGCTAAATTTTTCTATTTTTAGTAGAGATGGGGTCTCACTCTTGCTCAGGCTGGTTTCGAATTCTGACCTCAAGTGATCCTCCTGCCTCAGCCTCCCAGAGTGCTAGGATTGCAGGCGTGAGCCACTGAGCCCGGCCATCATTACTATTGTGTTTAGGAAATAAATATGAGAAAACTATGAATTCAGCTTTTCACTAGTGAACATATTTTAACTGTATTCCTCAAATAAAGTTCTAACCAAGTTCTTAGGACAGACAATAAGATACATCCAGTTTGACATATAGAGTTTATTCTGTGGCTTCAATTTGGCAAAATTGTTGAAATCTCTAAATCCCCTTCTGCCTAAAGCAGAGAATTGTCATAGGCAGAATTCGGGCCCCCATGATATGTGTCCTGACATCATGCTTGTAAACACTGTGTTTCCTCGAAAATAAGACAGGGTCTTATATTTATTTTTCCTCAAGAAGACACCGTAGGGCTTATTTTCAGGGGATGTGTTATTTTCCCCTCAAAGCCTCAGCTTGCAGCACACATAGGACGGCTGGGACCTGACAGGGGGAGCCAACCTTGTTGTTAGGGCTGCCCGCACCTTTCCGGTCACCTCTGGGATAGTAGCTGTCACGATGGGGCAGATGAGAAGGGCTGCTCGTCTTCTTTACCACTCTGTGATAAAATGCATGGGTTGTGCAGATACCCTGTGTAGCCACGCCCATCACTAGGTCTTATTTTTGGGGTAGGACTTATATTGCACAAATGCTTAGAAATCCTGCTAGGGCTTATTTTATGGGTAGGTCTTATTTTCAGGGAAACATGGTATGTCAGGTTATAGGGGCAGAGGGATTTTGTAGATGTAATTGTGTTTATAATCAGTACCATTAGATTGGGAGCTCATCCTGGATTGTAACAGTGATTGCATGAGTCCTTAAAAGCAGAACTTTGTCTTGACTGAGGGCA